ATTCCTGACCTAATAAAACCATAAAAATGAAGATAAAGCACAAGCGACAAATAAAGAAATTATATAGTGTGAAGTATCTTGTAACCATTCACTCACTTTTAACTTTCGTGTCAGGAGAGGGTTTTTTAAGCTGCGCTGTGGGCTCTGGTTCAGCTTTTTTCATCTGAATTGGATACCCACTCTTCTCCAACCAAGCCTTCAAGTTTTCAATGTACTCTCTTCCAAACAACGTTGAATCATCGAAGTTTGGGAATAGCGTCGGTGCTGGAGCCATTTCCTGGAGCCCTACTGCTTCAAGTATTTTCTCTTGCCTAAAAACAGATGCTAGCGCAAAGGTCTGACCCAGGAGTGCTAAGGACTTCCGGCAAAGAGAAATGGTGGTCTCAAAAGCACTTGCCATTTCTCTTGGATTACCAAAACCGCTCGTCTTAATGCTTAATTCGTAAGCATTGCAGGCCATAAGCAGTGGTGTAACACCTTTTAGGAGGCGATCTTGTAGCCTCATTATGTATTTATCAAAAGGTTTTATTATTTCAAAGAAGCAGTTCTTTGTTTTCACAGCACCCTTGTCCAAAAGCATATTTAAAAACTCATTGTCCACTTTGGGAGTTTTCAGAGCAGCATGTTGTAAACTCTTGATAGTAAAGAAACAATAATCTCTGTGTTCTGGCTTTAAGGAGCATTTGAATGAAGCAAGCATTTTTGCACAGGTTTCTGTCTCTAGCTCAAAGAGAGCTCCAAAGAGCCGGGAAAATTCTGCATCATTTTTGATTGCATGAAATCCAGCCCATTTTATAATTTCTATTCCAAATGTTGAAAAAATGTCTGATTTGTCCACAAGGTCAAAATTGAGATTTCTGAAAACATGGGCAGGCTTTGGGAGCCTGAGAATAGGCCTCTGGGTTGTTATAGCTGGCCTCTGATTAGGTCGTGGAGGCAACTTTTGATTAGGGCGCTGGATGGTCACCGGCCTCTGGTTAGGTCGTTCAGCAGCTTCTGGCATTTGATCAGGTTGCATAGCTGGCTTCTGATCAGGGCCCGGTTGCAGTTTTTTAGTGTTCCATTTCTTTAAGGGAGTTTTGATATCTCCTTTGAATACTTTAGTTTTAACAGCACCCCTTGTAATACGCTTTCCTCTCAGCGCTCTTCCCCTGCCCATGTTGCCCCTCCGTATCGGGGGTCGGAACTCGCTGTCAGATTGAATTCCAAAGTCCACATCATACTCCTGATTCTCCATGTTGCCATATTCATCTTCCATCAGTCCCGGTGATCTAAAATCACCTAAAATATCCGAAGAACTAAAATCAGTTTCGTGTGGTCCGGCAGATTCCCAAGAGTCAGGAGGGCCATAGTTCTGGTCATGAGAAGCCAGGCCCCCGTACTCCCGGTCATGGGATGTTGGGCGTCCATACTCCCGATCGCGAGATGCTGGGCGCCCGTACTCCCGATCGTGCGAAGCTGGGCGCCCGTACTCCCGATCGTGCGAAGCTGGGCGCCCGTACTCCCGGTCACGAGATGCTGGGTGGCCAAATTCCCGGTCACGAGATGCCGGGCGGCCATACTGTTCGTGGTAATAGTTATCTTTCCTTATGAGAGGACTAGCAGATCTGTAAGAAGGTCCTGGATAGTCATCTCTAGGGTCTTCACTCCAGTCATCATGCGGATGGTGCTGGGCGTTGTCATGAGTATATCTTCCATCATCATGAAAACTGTCTTCGTATCTTGGTCTTGGGACTGGCCTTGAATGAGCTGTAATGATAAAAACATAAATACACCAATGCATGCAAGTAGTATTCAGAAAAAAAATTAATAAACACATGTAGACACTTAAAAGAGTCAACATATCAAAACTTCTGAAGAACAGTACACATATCTAACTTCGGGATATTCCCATTTGCTTTCTTACCTAAATTGAATAATTCATAATAAGCAAAAAGCAACAGATGATTAGCAATGCCTAAACACACAGGACAAAACCATTTATTAAAATTTCTCACTAAAGCTGAAACCCAAGTTCTGCTATAAACCCCATTTTCTACTTGCTCGCAACTTTCCCAGTCTAGGAAGATGCTAATGTTGTGCTGATAACACTTCCATTCGGATTTCTCAGGTGTAAAAATATCAAAAGCATGCACTTTCTGTTTCTACACTGAATGTTGGAATTCCACAGTTGAGCAGAAGATCTTATTTTCCACAAAGTCATACACAATTAGCTAAGATAAGATTGAAGTCAGAAATACTAGAATTTCCTGCAAAGTATCCAAGAATCCCTATTCCTTAATTCCAGTAGTTCAATTCAGAAAGTCAAGAATACTTCAACAAAGTATTTATTTCAAAGTTATTTCTTTGGAGCTTACACAACTTTAAGAAACCAGAAGAGATCTCATTTTCAAACTCTCAATTTCCTATTAATGTAATCCAAGTTATTTTTCTAGACATTTTAAATATCAAATTTAGAAGATAAAAGAATCTGCAGATCCCATGTTGTATACACTCACTAGATTAATCTCCTGCTTTTAGCTTTTTCACCAAAAATAACATGAAATACAAAGACGCAAAGGCTTCAAATGCACTCCTACATTTATTTAACTTATCAGACATCAACAGAACTCCATCCTGCAGCGATGTCTCTGGAGACTTCCCTGAAATTGGACCCACTCTCTGATGCAGCCTGAACAGAATTCCTTTGTTTGAAATTCTTTTTTTTTTGCCTGGAATTTGTGTTCCACACTGAAACAGTGTCAGTCACACCAAGCTTTTAGCCTCTAAAATAGAAACGGATGTGGAAAAACACCAGCACAAGTCCACGTTTTAGGCAAATATACGTAAACGGAAGGCAAGAAATCTAACATAGCTGTTACCAGGAGAGCTGGTGTAATCCACGGCACGTCGGGCCCGGGTTTCATTACCTTTAAAATGATGGATTGTGTCCTCTATAGCATCGCTCCGGTCCATGCGATACCTTTTAACTTTGTCCTGCACTACAGCATCAAACGTCTCCCGTGTGATCCGCCGAGAGGCCATTTTTATCCTGTAGCAAAACAGCACAATGCCGCCCCTGGCCGGGGCAGGGGAGCTGGGGACGGTCCTCCGGCTGCCGAGCGAGTAAGAAACCCATCCCACGAAAAACACCTTTGGGATGTATTTTGAAACACTGGGAAGATCTGGGGGGCGATCCGTTGACTCAGAAACAACTGACTGAGTACTGTTGGCCAATATATATTTTGGAAGGTGAAGTGGCCAGAGAATGGAACATTGCAACATAATATCATCTGACAGTTGATGTTGTTTTGTAAGAGAGAAGGTAAATAGGATGAAATGGCTTATGTTGATCTGTTCCTTACATTGTGGAATCATCCGGAGTGGCAGAAAGCGTGTGGAATATCATCTGGTTATTTGGCAATGGTTTTGAAGGAAGAAGAGTTTGATAAAAGATGCTGTTCGGGATGTAGTAAGGAGTGTGGTAAAAATCTGAGAAGGTGGTGTTCTCTTTGTAATATGAATGAAGGAACGGAAGAGAATGATGTTGAATTGATGGTTGCACCTCACCGTAGAAGGGGTCAGGGAGCCCAGAATTTGGGAGGTAATGATCCATCTGCTCCCCCTATGGAAGAGGAAGCAGAGGGGTTTAGCCCAGTTTTGGGAAGGACATGAGGGAGGAGGGGGGAGGCCGGACAGGCCCCTCTCCAAGCCCCTCTCCGAGAAGCGGTAGGAAATGATGGTCCGGTGGGGGTAAAGGTTCCTTTTTTGATTACTGATTTAAGATCATAGAAAGAGATTGCAGGTCCTTATCGGGAGGACCCTGAGAAGGTAGCTAAGGCAATTGAAACAATAATTAGAACTCAAGACCCTGATTGGAATGATTTACAAGTAATATTGGACACTTTGCTCGATGATACTGAAAAGAGACTGGTGCTGAATGCTGCTAGAAAACAGGTAGAGGGAGCACATGCTAACGGAGATTTACAAGGGAGAGCGGACCAGAATTTTCCATCTACAAATCCCGAGCGGGACCCCAATCAACTGGGACCCAGGGGAATGTTGACTAGATATCAGCGGTGGATTTTATTTGGTGTAAGACATGCAATGCCAAAAGCATTAAATTGGTCCAAAATTTATGAAGTAAGACAAGAACCAAGTGAGTCCCCCTCAGCCTTTATGGAAAGACTGAGGGTGACTGCTAGAAAATGTACCAATTTAGATCCAGAAAATCCAGAAGCAGCAGCACCATTGGCCTCTCTATTTATGGGGCAGTCAGCCTCGGATATGAGGAAAAAAAAAAAAAAAAAAAAACACAAAAACCCAAAAAAAATCGCAACAAAAAAAATGCCTTTGACTGTATATTTTTGGTTTCAAGTTCCGTGCTTTTGTTTTCAAAAAGAGCAAGTCCCTTCCTTTGTTCCTGATTAACCTTAGAAGGTTTTGCACCGAAACTAAGTGTGGACTGTCTTAATGCCAGGACGAGGAAGCATTCAGGTAAAATGGGATCGAAACAGATTGCGCAGGAAACGTTTGATGATGCTGTGCAAGAAAACATTACAGAATTTGAAATGGATCCAGAAGAGGCTGTGAGAGAAGCTGTGCAGCAGTTTGAGTCCCAAGGTATTGTAAATTCATCTGCCTTTGCAGTTCAGGTTACTACAGCCTGAGCTTTTGCATAATCTCAAAATTTAAAAGAACCTGCATGCCAAGATTGATCATCCAGTACTGAAAAGAAGCCTTTGTGAATTGCAACACAGGTGTTGTTAATGCTAACCTAGTTTCATGAAGTGATTACAGCTGAAAAGCTGCTTTAGGTGGAACTGCAGGTGCAATTTTGTGAATTAAGAGGAAGTCGTCGTCCCCCGCCCCATTGACATTTAGCTAGAAGCGATGCTTTGTTCCAGCATCTTTGTTCATTGATCCACGCTTCACAATAAGCTTATCTTCGCTCGCTGTGGTTAGCTTGACAAATTTTAGCCAAGTTCCTGTAACTAACATTAATCTTGGTTTTATTTTTCCTTCTAGGTGTTGACCTAAGCAATATTGTGAAAGCGGTACGGCAGCCTGCCTCTGAAAATGGTCAAAAGCAAAAGCATGAAATTTTGCTGGTAGGAGCACAAATTTATCTTGTCTTCTAAGGATCAGGGTTATATAAGCGTTTGAGTAACAGACTAAGGAGATGTACCTTCTACTTCTGCCTCTGTCCCATTTCTTTGTGAGCTCTTCAAAAAGTGGTTAATCCCATCTATTCTGCGGACTAGGAATAATGTAAGAGTTCAAAGCACTAGCTTGCACTTTTTAGCTGAAATATCTATGTGAAAAATGCCAGTATTTCCTGCCTAGGAAATGCAGAGACTGCCTTTTGTAACTGGGAAGCAGGTTCTGCTGTTGTCGGGTAAACTCAAACCACAAAACTTTTACGAAAGAAATACAAGTAACCTAAGTGGTAGCTGTTACCCAGCCCTTCTGAGGGTAGGTGAAAAGGCTGAATACAGTGCCTCACCGGCAAGAATATAAAAATGCTCATACGCACCACTGACCCCTGTGGAACATGCTAGCTGGGCCCAACTCACCGACTGCTGGTCAGACTGGCATAGGGTGATGGCAGAAGTAGGGAGAAGCCCCTGTTCCTCCAAGGGTCCTGTGCATGAAGACAAAACGCTGCTCTGAGACAGCCATTTCTTAGATATGTCAAGCTAATTTTAAATGCAAAAGACGACTGTTATTACAAATAGCCAGATTTGACTGACTGTAAAGAACTGTTCTTGTTTCTTCACAGTTCGGATTGAAAAGTAACTCTTGTTCTCTTCTTTAGACTTTAGATTCCCTTGGGAGAGCTGTTGCTGACTCTGATCTTGCCGAGATGGCCGAGCAGCTAGGGGTCTTTGCTGATCAGTGCAAAGAACAGCTGGCTTTCCGCTACCTGGCTGGGCAGAATGGTGCCTATTCTGTGGTATTCTCTGCCTGCCAATTGGCTTCAGGAGACAGAAATTTAATGCTGAAGGCCTTTTATACTCTGTCTGCCATCCTGGATGGGCAGCCAGACCTGCTTGACTCCGCTGGCCAGGATCTACTGCTACAAACTCTGAAAGAATACAGGGAGGATGCAGAAATGACGCTGGCTGGGATCCGATGCATTCGGCACGCCTGTCTGAAACATGAGCAGAATCGTCAAGACTTTGTGAAAGGCGGGGTTCTCCCGCTTCTGACCAGCGCTATAGTCCAGCACGGAGGCAGTGCCGATGTCGTCCGAATGGCCGCCTCAGCGCTCAGGGTCATGACGTTTGATGATGACATCCGCGTGCCCTTTGGTCATGCTCATGATCATGCCAAAATGATTGTGTTGGAAAACGATGGGTTAAGAGTCCTCATTGAAGCTGCAAAAGGTAAAACTTAACCCCATGACTGTCAATCCTCATTTTGAATCATCTGTGCTTTCTTATCTTATCTCAAAACTGCTTTGTCCTAACTTGAAGCTCCCCAGAGATGATACAGAAATTTGCCACTAAAATGATGTTTAATTATTTCAATGAAATGTGCCCTGAGAGAGAAAATTAGTATGACTGCTCCAGAGGCTATGAGCAGCACCAAAGTGACAGTTCTCAGAGCTATCTGTCTATTTAGGAAGTGTTTTACAGCCCAGCGTGGGTTTACAGGCATGTACACCCCTGCTGAGGTGCTGCATTTTTGCCATGGAAAAGTGTTCTCTCTCAGTCTAGGTTCAGGGTGAACAGGATGTCATCTGTGCTGATGTGGTTTTATATATAAAGGAAATTCACAGTTGCCTATTTCTTCTTTTTTTTTTTTTTTCACTGAAGTGAAGTAAACCACCTTGATTCTGCAGCGCCCCTCCTTCCTCGTAGTAACTCCACTCATCATCTCTCCTCTGCAGCATTCACAGATAACTCCAGTGTTCTCAGTGAACTGTGTGCCACCCTTTCTCGCCTCTCTGTCAGGAATGAATTCTGTCAAGAAATTGTGGACCTTGGCGGCTTAAATTTTATGGTGGCTCTCCTGGCTGACTGCATCGACCACCCGGTGAGCGATAGAAAGTGTACTTGGGAGCGGAGGCAATGCAGCAGGGCTGTGAAGGAGCCTTAGACTATGCGTTATTTTGGGTGCAGTTAGGGTTGAAACCCAACCACTGATCTCTATTTACCTCCCTGTTTGCAGCCTTATACCCAGAACTAGGTTCCATGTGCTCTGTCAGATAAGAATGCACTAATTCTGAGCCCCTTGCTTGTAGTTACTTCCTCCGTCCTCCACAAGCAGAACTCTGCTTCCTCCCAGAAAAGCTGAGCTTCGGTTTTCCACCGTTCTACCTAGAAGAGATTCGAGAGGATTTAGATGCTTGGGTCCCAGAGGGTTGATGTTTGCTTCTTTGAAAACCTCTGCCAAATGAACAAGGTTCCTTATTACTCTGTCTAGCTAGAAAGCGTGGCTGAGGTGTTGCTGAGAATAGCGTTGCTGTTCATAACGGGGAATTACAACTGTTGGAATGGAGTTGCTGGGGGACGTTCTGGTTGGCTTTCAGAAATCTGTAAATCTGTCTCTGCAGCTTTCTAAGCTGATTTTTCTTGATGAACGCAGGACGTGGTGAAGCAGGTGCTGAGCGCCATCCGAGCGGTTGCGGGTAACGACGATGTGAAAGATGCCATCGTTAACGCTGGGGGAACGGACCTCATTGTGCTCGCTGTAAGCCATCACCTTGCCAACCCTCAGGTATGCTCGAAGTGGTTGATGAAGTCCCACCATGGCTGGGAGTGGAGGT